CTTGACAACTATTTGTTTCATGATATATATGATGGGCCAAATAAATTATTCTTTTAAAAAAATGGAAAAATTAAAATTCAGCAGAGAAAGTGCAGAAAAATGTAGTTTTGTTTAAAAATAGAGTCAGATGAGGATTTCTGCTGTCCTATTTTTGATTTCATAATTTCATGAATAATACATTATATGAAGAGAACTATATGCCATACAAGGCGAGACTGTCCTCCGAGAGACCAACACACATTGATGTGACACATCAACCCAGCAAGCTAGCCAAGCTTCCAGAAAGCTGATACTCCCTCTGGGCGTTGTTTTTCTAATCGTTACTAGTGGGTATTGTGTGCGTTGAGTGAGACAGTCTGCATGGCTCAGCAGGTAGGGAGGTATAGCAATTCTTCCTCATTCATTTCCTAGGGCGAGGGAAATAGCCTGCCATAATCAGACCTGGTTCACAAGAATACAATAAAGTTATTGAGGCGATTATCAGTATAGCTGTCAATTCCATTCCTTTCCTACTCTTCACAACTTGTAAACTTGTCTTATTGTTACTTTTTCTGACTTAGTTAAAATAACAATATAGGCTTTTATGATGGGGATGTGAATTGAACATATTGGATTCATGATTATCATATAAGTTGTAATTAACTCAAATAATTAAACAAGGGCAAAACTTTTATTTCTTGGCATTTTCAGGTACTGATCTCTATTGCTAACTCTACCAAAAAACCTTATGCCATTTTTCTCTTGAAAATATTTTCATATAGTTTAATGGTAAAAGGAATAAAATTTTACTTATGAAAGATACAAAATTGCAATGTAATATAAATTATTTTTTGCAGTCAGTTGAGAAAAGTTGATATTGAGTATCAAATTACTGCATCTTTTGGATTTTTAATGATACCTTTGTGATTAGTGTTTTTTGAGTTTATTATACTAAAAGACTTATAACTTACTTCATTGATGATTTTGCTCTAAAAATGACTTACATTTTTGACTTTTAATTTTCTGTTTAAAACACAGTTAATGCAATGACATTATAAATTTTGTAGGTCATTTGTTCTTATTGGATTAAATATCAGAAGTGAATTTTTTTTTTTCACTTTTTTTTTGCTTCATATTTAAGTTCAAAGGTTGCTATTCATTTGCATAGGACTTATGTTTGATAAAAGAAACTTCGGGACTGATAACTGTATAGTACATTTTTACTCTTATTTGCCCCTCCGACAGAAAAAACAACAAAAATATTTCATTGTCTTTGTGAAAATAATTCTGAATAAAAGTATCGAGAAATGAATACAGCCTTACTAGTCGTTGCTAGTCCACCGAGTTACAGGAGATCTATTCTGGAACATGAAAGAGCTTGTAGTAGAAGTAGTTCTATGATGGATGGGTATTTTAACTTGATGTGACAGTTAGACCTACTAGCTGTATTATAAGGAAGTCACAGACTGCTAGATAATGAATTCTAGTAAGAGCCAGTGCTTTCTATGGCTTCGCTGCTTCTTCTTAGAAACCATATTAACTCAATGAGTTGAATTCTTGGTTTTCTTTGCTGAGATTTCCCTTCTTATTGATGTCAGATTACAAAGGGATTATCAAATTATTAGAAATGTAAGCCATGGATTACATGTGATAATTTCCCTCCCACTGTAAAGAAAAAATAGATGGATTCAAAATAAAACATGAAATTTTAACATAATATATTTTTTATTTCCATTTACAATTTACTTTCAACATGAAGTTTCAAAATAGTGGGCTAGTAGCTTGTAGTAGTATGAAACGTGAACCAGAAGGAAGACATCTACATTAAGGAAGTTTTGATGAAAAATGTCTTGAGAATTGTGTGTCTGAGAAAAAAAAAAAAATTTCATTTCATTTTGGACGTCTGCACCGTTTTTTAACAGCCATTCACACCTTGCTATTTTCAATGTTGTAAAAAAGATAAGAATCTAAGTAAATAGTCTCTTTAAGATACAAACACTGTTTATATTTTCTGTCTAATCATCCCTGTCTGAATTTCAAACTATTTATAGATTTAATTGAATGATGAAAGATTCGCATTGTGCAAGTTTCAAGCGTTGAATACACGAATCTGTCATTTTCAAATGTTTTCAACTGTTCACCCTCCAATACATGTGTAAATTACGTAAGGGAAATTGACAGTTCTTTAATATAAAATCAACCACTTGGTGGCGCTAGTGCTGGGAATGAAATCTGAGATTTTTCAGGCATGTCGCGATCGGCACTTGTGGACACAAGATTTGACAGTTGCTGGAGGCAAAATACACTTTGAATGGATTTGTTGCTATGAAGTAATTTCACCAAGGGAAATAACTCACAAGTGTTGATTTCAAGTGTGGTTGAATTCCTCAAGAATCTGGGATCAGTTTTCTAAAGCCTTTCTCTGTTGTTTTTGAATGTTTTACTCTAATCACATTTCAAGTTTTGTAAATTAAATCATGGTGGTTGAATCACTGGTCTCTTATTTAATTTAGCCACACTTTGTAACAGTATAATCAGGTGAAGTATACGATTACAGACCAGTGTTCCAACCAGTTATACTTGCTAAAGTAGAAGATTAGGGATATTTAACTAAATTTAAGCAAGCGCCATGTGCGACCCTGGGTCTGTTTCTTCAACTTAACCAAATTCTACACTCGGCTTAATTGATAAATTTCATTTCTTTATTATCCTTCCATGGCCTTTTGTATTCATTCTGAACAATTTCAATCAAATTATTTTCAAGTTGTACCAAGATCCAAGAACTCGTTTTGTTTGTGTCAGACAAGAGAAAATCTTTGAATATTTTGAATCTAGTCATCTAATGTAACAAAGTTTCTTTGAATATTATTCTAAGGATTTCATTTCTTTGAGAAAAAAAGTTGAAACTGATGAAAGGTCTAGGATGGGACAATGGTGCTGAAATCTCTTTAATAAAAACTTGGAAAAAATTGTTAGTTTCTTAATTGAATAACATAAATATTTGAATATACATTGATAAAATTGAATTAGATAACAAACTCTAAATAATTGGCGGTATTGTGAACGAAATTCCGTCAAAAGGCCATCAAGATGTAAGCAGCTGCCATTTATAAACTGTTATCTTTGCCATTTTGATCTGTAACGTTTACTGAAACAAAGCCTAACTCTGTAAGAAAGAAAACATTTAAATAGATACAGTTTTAAGTGATTAATTTCCATTCTATTTGAATCTCAAGATATGATTGGTGGTTAATACCAGGCCGGCTGCTTGCTTTGTAAACAATCTTGCGGCATGTTACATCACAGGGCTATCTCTTTAGAGAAGAGATTATTTGTCCAAGAAATTAAATTTGTTGGTTCATCCTTTGAGTGTATTAGAATTTCTCTATCCCCTCTAGCAAGTTTTCTTTCTAATTGTTCAAATGATATCCTATTGAGCTCAAATTGTTTTCCCAATTTGCCTGAACAGTAGACAGTATTTACTTGGCATGGAAAGACTGGTCTTCTTTAGCAGGTTCTTACGCAATCCAATTCAACCCATACAATAGATATTTAGAAATGAAATCAGTAAAGTTAACGAGGAAGTGTTTGAACAGGCCGACTAGGTACACAAGATTAGTTTCAATAGTTGTTTGAGGTAATTATTAGTAATAGAATTAGAAGTTATTTCTAGTATTGGCCTCTTTTTTTATCTTTTAACGTGCATACAAATAATAACAATTAAAAAACTAAACTCGTTAGATTAATTAATTAATTATCAACACGTGATATATTACCATGATCTTTCGTTTTTGAAACTTGACACACTTGTCAGATTTTGTGTACATTTTTTCTCATCACATGCAGTTTTTTTTATGTTCTCTTTTTTGTGATCTTTGGGTTTCAAAAAGTTCCTGGGTTTCTATTCAGGAATGGAATATTGATCATTCATGATAATGTTCCAACATGTCATCCCCCTTCCAACTAAATAAAATACTAATAATAAACCCTTTTGAACCTCCTTCTTATTTTTATTTATTGTTCAAATTAATAATATTTGTATTGTATTATTATCAAGAATATGAAATATTTCCTTAGATTAATGAATATAATAGAATGGGGGTGTTTGATGTTGGTTAAGATGGGTTTAAGGGGGTTTAAAACCATATGGAGTTAATAGGGCTTATTGTCAGTAGCAGCAATCAAACACACCCCTTTATCCCACTTGATAAGATCAGGATTAGACCCGAAAGAATATTATCACTTTTACTAATATTGTTGAAACCTTTTCTAGCAAATTGTTTCAATAAATACCGATTATTATAGAAAAAACTCGCCATATTTTCTGTGAAAGGGTTCATTCACAAGACAAAATGGAGTCAGTGTTTAAATCATATAGGAGTTATTATAAGCTTTACGATAAAGATTCAGTGACGCGTAGCGAGCAGGCATGGCCGTCTTTCAAAAGGTAGCTTTCTTCTCTTCAAATCTCCATTCTATTAGCTTCAAGTTTCTTTTTTCCTCTTTTATTCAACATTGAATATCCTTTTCTAATAATTTGTCACTTGGCTTCACACTAAACTACATATTGTTATATCTTTATGGCTTGCACATGCCAGACACTGGCAAATTTACATCAGTTTTTATGCTTCACGGCATCGCAACCAGTTTCTTTGTTATTATCTTTGCCTTTCTCTCTTCCGCTAAATATTACAACAACTTGGCCACGATTTGTCGCATTGAAAAAGTTAAAAATTATAATCCTAATTAAATCGTAGGGGAAGGTGATTAGAAAATTTGAATTTTTCTCTGAATAGATAATCAAAAGAGATGAAACAATATTTTAATTAAAAGGAGGAAAAATTGGACATCCCAGATGTGATAATTTTATATCGCTCTGAAATATGACATTTTAATTGCATTATTAAATTTTATCAAATTATGCAATATGATAATGAGGTTAGCTTCAGAATACTTATCTTGATACATTTTTTTACCTCAGTTTTGAAGAGTCATTTATATTTATTTCTTATTTGTTGCAGGTGATGGTTTAGATAATAGTTTAGGCTCAGGTGATGGCTCAGAAGATGAGGAAAATGGTGATAGATCTAAGCGTTCGAAAAAACGTGGAATTTTCCCCAAGGTTGCCACGAATATCATGAGAGCATGGCTATTTCAGCATTTATCGGTAAGAACTCTTTAATTATTTTTATCCTGTTTCGATATTCTGGAAAACTTTGATAAATTTATTATTTAGAAATTAAAATTCCAGAAAGGTATATTCTGAGTAAAATTTCAATTATTTTCTTCCATATTTTCATGGAAAGCAATTTATCTTCATCAGAATTATTATTCTATGACATGGTAAATGATCAAATTGGTCATAATCAGGGCATTATACACAGATAACTTTAATCCTGCCTGATTCTTGTATCCATGGAATATCTGCCATTCTTTGAGACCTGGATAAAACGACTGTCTTCAATTGACGAGTACAATCTCTTTTTGCGTCAAATGTGTTTGAATCGGGGACCATGCTCTCTCAGAGGCAATAATATTTTTCTATTAACATTCATGACTTTTTGGCCGATTGACTTGACGTGGAGCTGTTAATCGAAAGTGGTCGATTATCATTTTTGTGCCGAGATGAACGGGATACGAAATGGAATTATTTTTCACCGACTGGAGCTCGATAATTTTCTACCTTCTTAGATACATGAATTAGAAAACGAATTAAAAGCTGAAAGCGTTAATGAGAATCAAGACTATGATTGGCATATTCGGCTAGATTGGGTGAAAAGTGTTAGTTTTCTATCTTTATCTTTAAGAAATGTTCAACTGGCAGGATTTGTGTGACAGGCAATCACAGTTAGACTAGCTGATAGAAAAACTTTTAATAAGCTTTTTGACAAGCTGAAAAAAATCAACTTCGTCCAACTTTGCAGATAATTTCAAATATTTTTCCGCTTGGGAGTTTTGTTATAGAAAGGAAGAAGATATCAATATTTCTCATTTTCCTGCTCATTTTTTTTTCAATTTCAAATATTTTCTTTATGCTAAAATGATATTAAACGCGGAAATTGACTTTAACATTTTATTCATAAAGCTAATCAGTTTGAACAGCGTGAACGATTCTCAAACTCGTGTATTTATTCCATCAAACAGTGGGTAAATTTGGAAAATACTTTGAAAAACAAAAGATCATACATGTTTGTTTGCCATTCTAGTTTGAAAAGTTAAAAATTGGAACTCTTCAAAGAGTAAGGGAAAAAAAATCATTAATGTACATTATCTTTTGATTCTGTAATTATTATTTCCATATGATCTTTACAAACCATAAATATATTGATTGAAATTAAAGAAAATCTGAGCTTTTATGAAGCTTCTTTCTTAATTTAAGTCTTATTTCCTTTCAATGAACAGGAGTTGTATTGAGTCGAGATGATTGAGTGTGTTTTAATGCGGATTATGATTGGTGCTATTCAATGACATAGATATAAAACTATTGGCTTGTATTCTTATTCAATAAAACACATTAATATATCTATTAGGCATTATAATTACATTGCAATTAGGGCAATATCAAAGAAAATATTGGACTCTGTTACAGTTAAGCAAGTTCATTTTATTCAGACTAAATAAGCTTATGTTTTTGTAATTTTGTCCCAAAAATATAATCCCACTAGGCCTTCAACAATCAAAGTTTAAAATGGTTCTTTTTTTAATTTTTCAAAATATTCAGCTGACAAAAAGAATTCTTTTAAGAACTTAATTCAATAAAGAAACACAAGAAAAATTTGCTGCGAGAAAAAAAAATGTCTGCTTGAGTGGTTCATACCTTGTAAGCCCAAGTTCTGATCCGTTTTACACGTCTCCGACAGATTGGTGTAGATTTTGACACAAAAAGGCAAGAAATTATTGATCGAATCATCCAAGTGTATTCAATGTTCTCAAACCTTCACTTCTATTGTCATTTATAATTTAAACTGCCTTTTACAAGTCGACGATAATTTCCTAAGACTGGCAGATATAACCCAATATAGTTTCATCGATATCTTCTTTTTATGATGTCTTCTGACACATTTCTTACTTCCTGATTTTTGTACCTTTGAAAAAAATTATTTTGAAGAGTTCCTTTTTTCAAAACCTTGCAAGTTCGAATAGGTTATTTCTATATTATGCCAAGACCTTCCAGATTGTATATTTTTCAAACTTTCTCAGAGTCACCACCTGATAGAATCTGAAAATTCCCAAGATATTATGAAAGTATTAGGAATTGTTATATGTTTTATGTTTGTTCTATTTCTCCATTAAATGAAAATAAAGGTCAACGTATTCTGATAAATCCACACAAATATATTTTTTTTGTGTAGGTTTGCTTACAATATTATGTAGACACTTACAATATTTTCAAGGATTGTTTTTCAATTTTCTTAAAATTCATAAATGTTCAGTCACTAAAAATTTCAAATTTCTGCTTTTGTAACAAACTTATTACCCTCTCAAAATATGCTTAGATTATCCAGGGTTTTATTAATCCACTAACTTAAGACCTTTTACCATTTAAAACAGCTCTTTCAGCTGATTATCCAGACCTTAATGGGTTTTGTTAATCCACTTCTTAAGACCTTATCGCTCTGTGAATGTGCTCTTTACATCTGATTATCCAGTCCTTAATGGATGGTGTTAATCCAATAGGAGAACAGTGTTAATCCAATGCGTAATTTTCACCCATTTTACCTGATCTTATCATGATGGTCGAATGAAAATTAATGGAAGAATGGCCATTGAGGAAGAAACAATGGCTGGCCATCATCTGCATACTTGGAGATAAACAATCCACTTAACTTTCTCTATTCCAATGTCTGTAATCCCATTTCGTCGGGAAACTGGTCAGTAATTTAGCTAACAGGATTCCGTAGTCTTGCACAGATAAGGCAGAATTCAATTTATTGTGAGGGAAATATAATGCAAATCATGCTATTATAAGCTATTTGGATGATGAGCTCGGAAGACCTTTCTGTCTAGTTTTTCTCCAATTGTTTTAAAGTTCACATATTTAATATGATTAAAGACCACTGAATGGCCAGGAATTGGGTCTATGTGATTCCATTTTGGACCAATTTTCTTGTAATTTTCTCAGAATTCTATGAAGGCATATTATGAAATTGGAATATATATGAGGATGAAAACGTAATAAAATAGTTTAATAAGCAGATGATGGCACATCGCCATTTGTTCTAACATTGAGAAAACATAATCAATCCAGAACTTTTGCAGTTTTTAGCCAAAATTCCTTCAGAGACAAATTTATATTTAAATTTTAAGATTACATTTTTTGAAAATAAATTTGTCAAATGTTTTAAGCATTTTTTGTTATAATTTTGAGACAAAGGCATTTCTAAAATACAGGGATTAAACGTGGAATTGCGTTACCTTTACTTGCAGAAAAAGGCGACCATTAGCGAGGTATCAAATTGCATGCTGGGAGAATAGATCTGGGAAATCAGACAATGGCTTAATAAGACGATCTCTTTCAAAAGTATGCTGTACAATTCATCATGCAAGCTACCTATTATTTAATGGAAAGGATAATTTGTATGTAGTAATGTACAAATTAGACCCTTATCTTGTGTTGGGCGGGGATCAACATTATTCAATCCTTCAATTTCATCAGACTTTGAAACTTAAGTTGTTATTGTTACATTCGAAACTCGTAATCACAATAGACAGATCTTTAATTATTTTGTGATCACCAATCATTGAACAAAAATGTTTAGAAAATGACAAAAGCAGACGTCATTTGGACTTCAATGCAAATATTGCAGCTTATTTTTCCTGTGCTTGTTCTTTGGTAAAATCCAATTAATGATGTTATCTTAATATCTCATGCACCTCATTATGCTGAAGAGCAGATACTTATTCCTGAAATTTCTAGAATTTCAATCAAGACCACCAATATGAGCGTTATTAATGGTTATATAGGGGTAATACTGTGACTGTAATAATGACCTGCGTGTGAAGGTTACTGCAGACAGGATATGAGCTTAATTTATTCCTGGCCACAATATAACAGTAATGTGGGTGGTATAGCCACAGTTTAATAGTGTCACCAACATTTCACTTACTGTCACTCTATTATCTTGGACCCTAGGATTCTAACCAGTCGACCAGCATGTCTGGGGGTCAAGATGCTCCTAAAGAACATGTTGTTCTAAAAATGGTCTTGCATTTTGCTGAATTTTATTAATTTATAGTTATATTCTTCAAATTTCGAAGAAATCAAAATTCAGAATTTTCTTCTTAAGTGTGGTCGTCACATTATTCTTAAAGTTGGCTTCTCCCCATGACTTCAGATCAATACTGTTAAGTAAATGACTGATTTTGCCCCCTAAGTGTTAAGTGGTCCAGTTACATGGTCAGAATTTAATTGCCTTATAGAAGTCCATAACTCCTGTAGAGTGTTCACACTAAAATTTATTAGTTTCACACCACTATCACTATGATTGGTTTTGTGTCAGGGGCAGGGCATTGTTACACTTGTCACCACTCAAAATTGTCACTTTTGATTTCTCCTGAATAGAGTTTCAAAATGGAGAATTCTTCAGAACAATTTGAATTTTATTCAAAATGTTAAGATGATGTTTTGAAACCAGATTACTTTGTAGTGTAAAATGTGGATATCTTTTTTTAATGAATAAATATTTGTTTTCAAAAACATCCTGAGTAAAAAGAAAACAATTGTTATGCAGTGTCAAAAGTTCAAGTTTCTTGCAAGTGATTTTGAATATCCTTTGGGCAAAACATTTCAAGAATTTATCAAGTACCATTAACTGTTTTGGGTTGGATTTGACAATTGTGAAAATTCCAAAGCAATAGTCCGAAATGTGTCAATTCCAGTAATGTTCAAAGGGTGTCCTCCTTCCAAGATGTCATGCCCCTCCCTTGTGTCTTGTTGTTGTGATTTATTGGGGTTGTATATTAGGACACAATTGGGCAAAGTTACTGTTGCTTTTCACTAACAGTAATTAAGCACTAATTTTATGCCCTCTACCCCACCAAGGTTTTGTGTTTGCACAATAATAAATCTGCTAGACTGCAGGGGGAGGTAATATTACAACCCCCCTCACCTTGTCAATTCTGATTTATTTTTCTAAGTTATGTAAATACATCATGTCATTTGTGACA